ACCTTGGCGTGAAAAGCGGCGTACGTAAGTTTCTGAGATCATATTGTGCGTACGCCAGTTTTATAAATCTGACCCCAGGTCCTGTGGTTGCCACCCATGCCAAAATCATCCCTCCACCACCGTGCTCAACAGCTGCTATGACGCATTTCTGCTCATATTATCATCATTTTTTTTTACCAAACATGGCATTGTGCATTTTGTGTAAACATCTTTGCTATAGTCTCATCTACCCAAATGATGTTTCTGAAATTTTGTAGTTCATTTAGATGAATAATCTAATTATTGTCATGAAGGTTAACCTGCTAACTGAGGCCTGCAGAGTCCATCATGCAGTTCTTGAGGCNTAACTTCATTTCTGGACATTTATGGTTTAATTTCTTTGTATGTATGGATCACTTGGGTTGTTACCGACATCTGGTGAAAATTTCATGTCATTTGCACCTCTAGTGATATATTTACTGAGAAAAATGGTGACGTGTTCAATACTTATTTTACCTGCTGTAGACATGGTTACACTTAGTGATAATCAGTTACATCCAACCACCTGCTGCTACTTTCCTGTCCAATCAACAAAGGTGGACTTAGTTCTTTTTAAGCAATCTGAAGCTCTAGAATAGAAATAGGGCTAACCCTTTTATTAACAATTTATGTAGAATTGAGATAAAAAAAATTGACATCTTGAGTGATTTAGTTCAGTTTATTGCACAAACAGCAGTGACAAAATGCATTTTAGATGTTATAATGTACAGAGAAATTGGACCAAAGAAATAAAATATAATAATGGGTAACATTCAAAACCTCGTTTGACACACAAGACCCAGGTCAGGTCCTGAAGGAGGGGCCAATTCTTCTGCTATTAAAACAGAAAAAAGGACATAATGGTCCTGGATAATGCAAAGCACAGATTAGACAGATTAAAAAGATGAACATTTCTTCAAAATGAGTGACAAGTTCAGTATCAAAATGTAGTACATTACGGTGTCCTTTCCAGAAAAACCTTTAGCACAATATAGAAACACTAAACTACTCAACTGTTTGAGGCAATGAGGAATATTTGAGGGGATAACACTAATTCAGAATTACTCATCAGGAAATGAACATGAATAAGTTGTTAAATCTATAGTGTTAGCAGGTGTAACAGTCAAATATTTACACGTCAAGATGTTATTGTTGCATAATAATCAAAAAGTTACTAAATGACAATGAAAGTGGTGGTTATATCAAAAGCGCATTTACACAATCTGATGAATTGAGTCTTTGGTTCGACGCGAGCACCACCCCAAACTGAAAACATCCTGAAACGCTTGTTTAAAATGGCTTCCCCTCCCCGTCCCCCCACCGTCRCTTCACTTTCTCAGTAACAAACGATGCAGAACAAAAGCTTTCAGTTTGAAAACTACACACAGACACAAAAGAAAAGCATCTCTCGCTTTGCAATCATACTGCACATGTACGAGTCATTTGGGGGGGGGGGGGGGGGGGAAACACAAAACGGACCAACAAGAGTTGTTTAAAAAATGAGCCCAACACACACCCGGTCCTGGAGCGAGTCAAATATAGCAAAAGTTCAAAAAACAGGAAGGTATTCAAACACAAACAGGAGACACTGAAAAAGATTCATCTGCACAAAATGACTCCCTGTACAGAAAGTTGTACAGACGGAGGAGACGAGGCAGACATAAGCTTTAGAAAGGCACAGAGCTTTAGTGTGCATTCAGCTAGAACTAAAGTAGCACCGAACACACACACACACGCACGCAAGCACACACACATAACATGAAAACAGGTTCAATGCCAAAGGTGTTTGCAAAGAGGTTGAACAATATTAGACAAAAATATGTAGCTTATTAAACAAAACAACAAATGAGATACAATTTTTAAAGTAAATGTCAAATGATTGTTACAGCAGGTTAGGCAGACTTTACAGTAACAGAAAGGTTTTTGGGTGAATTTTTAAATGGCACTGAAAGACACGTTCGATGAAAAACACCTGTCCATTTTATTTCAAAATTAGTATCAGTT